ATCCCCAAGTTCCTAAGTAGCTGCTCGACCTTCTCATCACCAACCCCGTCATGCGTGTCGCCCTCTTGCGAAATATATCCAACTCTGTCAGCATACTTCTGACTAGGGTCACCCTTTCCTAGGCTCTTCCTAGGTTCTCATACTTCTCCGCCATCAGCTGCTGAAGAACTCCTTATGATGTCAGTCATCTACATCCTGAATATCGTCATATTCACTTAGTAGCTGACTCTCATCATCAAGAGTTCCACAAAGCATGAAGCAAGCAACATTCGGGCATCGAATAATCTCTACCAACATGTAAAAACCACTCAAGGTTATTACCCACTTGCTCTCTCATACTCAAAGGATACCACCGAACTAAGCAACTTTACCCCACGCGGGCGTCTGACTACTCTCTCAGTAGACTCCTCAAATGCTCATCTAGGTATCTCTCCTAGATTACTCCTCTACTCTCTCCTAGAGGATTCCTGCTGGATACTCTTACTCAACACATGCTCGAAAGCACATCATAGATAACAATAACTCCTAGGCTAAGGCATCACAAATCAGGCCACTCTAGTCCTAACATATGAAATACCTAGCCTATATCTAGCATGCATAATATCTCATAGCATATCTCATAAATATCTCATAATACAAACGTAAGGGTATTTTGGGAAATCACTGTTCGGGCTCTGGCTGATTGTACACACTGCTCCAACTCGTACTCTTTTAGAAACTCTTGAGTCCAGATCTACCCGAAGGTGCATCCGAATCCTCAGTTTGAGTCCAGATCTACCCGAAGGTGCATCCGAATCCCTCAAACCAAGGCTCTGATACCAACTTGTAACACCGTAATTTTTCAAACAGATTTTTCATTTTAAAATCGCATACTTTTCATAACAAATTGTATGGAAATCTCGTTTATTCAAATTACAAAACACAACTCCATTAAAATCCAGGATCCTCAAAACATAACTCTTTCTCTGGTGTGTACAATCAAGCCGGTGCCTTCCCGCGATTCCTGAGAACAACCTGAAACACATAACACATAACACGGTAAGCACGAAGCTTAGTGAGTTCCCCAAAATACCACATACAACACATACGCCACTCGAGGCTACAGTGCGACCCTTCGGTCGATGTGTCTCAGCGGAACCCTCCAGTCCCGTAGCTCGTTGGACCCTCTGGTCCGGTCATAGCTCGTTGGACCCTTCAGTCCGGTCTGTATCGTTGGACCCTTCGGCCCGGTCTATATCGTTGGACCCTCCGGTCCGGTCTATACAACACATAGCATACATATATCACAATGCACATAATCTCATACATACACATAGCACACAAGACCCTCCGGTCTACATATAGATACCACTCTAGGTAATGTATAGTGAGAAGACTCACCTGGCCAACAGCAAGTAAAGACCCCGCTCCCGGATCTCGAACTAGCCTCCACCTAACACAAGGGATGAATATCTCTAAGTGATACTCTAATCACAACTCTAATGACCGAAGGCTATTCTTCCTCATTTTAACTTTTTGAAGGGGATAAAAGACCATTTTACCCCTCCATGGTCTCTACTACTTATGTTGATCAAAGCCCCAAAGTCAACAGAAGTCAAACTCGAGTCAACAGTCCATGTTTGACCCGACTCGCCGAGTGCACCCTTGCGACTCGTCGAGTCCACTTACTTTCCTCAGAAATCTCGTGACAGTCCAGCTCAGCTCGTCGAGTTGACCCCCAACTCGTCGAGCTATCGCATGTTCAAGCTCATCGGGACAAACCCTCACTGACTCGTCGAGTCAACTCATGGACTTGACGAGTCCCCTCGGTCTGATTCCTCATTCAGACGTCCAAAGTCAGATCTCTCATTCCAAACCCTAGATCTAGCCGTTTAAGACACCAGAGGCACATAAAGTCTCGACCTTTACGTTCATGCATGGCACAAATGCCTCAAAATGCCAAACAAGCCCTTCTTAAGGTATTAAGCACAACAACCCTCATTTGGATGAATAAAGTTGGGACCTTTGGACCCTAGGGACCTTACAAGGTCCAGATCTGAGGACTAGGCTTCTAGCTAATCCATTTTACTCAAAGTCCCAAACCAAAGGTGGTAAAAGCCCTAGAACTCCAAACACATGAGATCTAACCAAATAATGAGAAAGGTGCAGACTTTTACCTTCCTCAGAAGCTCTGGACGATCTATCACTGGATCCAACTTTCCCCCTCTTGATCCTTGCTTGATCTCCTTCTCTTCTTCTCAAATGATGCACTAAAAATCCCAAGATAGCTTCTCTCTCACTTTCTAGCTCAAATGACCTTTAGGGTTTGCTTCCAGGGAAAGGGTGGCCGCAATTGAGGCTATAAGTGCCTTTAAATAGGTCCCAAACCCCGGAAATTAGGGTTTCTCTAATCAGCGCCTACTCGGCGAGTCCCTCTCCTCGGACTCGTCGAGTCCACTCATTAAATCCACGGGAGAAATCCGACTCGACTCAGCGAGTTGGACCCTCAACTCGTCGAGTCCCTCCTTTAATCACAAGATTAACCTACACCATAATACCTCTGAAAATCCGGATGTTACAGTTTGTGTGTGTGTGTATGTGTGTAAATATATATATATATTATATATATATATATATATATATATATATATATATATATCCTCTTTAATAAATGAAAGTTTTTTTGCCACATATCAATCTCTCATGAGTTTTGACACTTGTCATTTTGTGGTATTTTTGAAATAAATATTACACACTTGTCAATTTTTGGTTTGTTTCAATTTTTAAAATTAAATTCATATACTTATATATGTAAAGTATTAAATACCATATTAAATTGCAACAAATACGTTTTCATTTCTTATTTTAAAATTGTACATTAAAAAATATTTTCCGTTTACATTTTCATTTAATATTTAATCTTTTTTTTAAATCAACTCGTGTAATACACGGGTCTCACACCTAGTATATATATATATATATATATATATATATATATATACACACACACACACACATGTTTACTACGAAATAGGTGTTTGTATACATATTTTTATAAATATGTTTTTGTATACAAATGTATTTATAATAAAATAGGTGTTTGTATAGATTTTTTTTGTAAAATATGTGTTTGTGTGTGTGTGTGTATATATATATATATATATATATATATATATATATATATATATATATATATATATTTATAAATATGTATTTGTATACAAACATAAGATTTTTTATGTGAAAATATGTTTTTTTGTATAAATTTGATATTTTATAAAGAAAAAACATATTCAATTTTTTTTTTTGAGAAAAACGGTTGTAAAAAAACTAAATTTAGGATGAGTTCATAACAAAATTTTGAAATGTATGCCAAAAGGGTAAATTTTAGACCAAATTTGTAATAAATTTTAAAATCTGGGCCAAAAGTGTAAAATTTGGCCCAAATTTTGTAAAAAAAAATTGAAATCTAGGCCAAAAGTGTAATTTTTGAAAGTTGGATGACATGTTGACTGGGTAAAATGGTTAAAGTGAATACGATTACCGGTTTTTGTGACTTAATTGAATAAAAAAAGATATAAGGATTAAATCGATTATGAGGCCAATATGTAAGGATTTTTTTTTTGCAGTTTTCCCCAAACATATATATAATATATATTATATATATATATATATATATATATATATAACTATATATATATATATATATATATATATATAATTTTTATAATTTGTAGTGACAATGTTTTTGCAACTCTATATGTTCAACTCACTGCTCATTTCTTCAAACTCTTTGTGCGATTTCTGTGTGCGGCAGAAAATGGGAGCATTTCTCTCTCTCTTCCTCCTCTCTATTTCTCTATCTTCTTTCTCTTTTCATTTTTTCATTGAATACCACTTCTTGTGTATCGTAAAAAAATGTGACAAAAAAAGGGAGTGTGACAAAAAAATGGAGTGTGACACCACTGATTTTGTCACTTTTGCCTCAATAATCCAATCAAATAATCAAACTGTTTCGACTTTTTAATTATTTTTATCTCAATTAAGTTGAATAAATATAAGTTTGAATTTTAAATTTTTGTCTGTTAGAACATTTTCAACCCAATATTATTTTTGGTATTATAAAGTATAAACATCGTTTTTTGTGTAAAACTCTTCCAATCAAATATTATTTTCAGTGTCATTTTTTTATTTTGTTTTAAATAACAAACTAATCTATTCCTAATTACAACTTACGTTTCAAATGAGATTTAAACTCATGATCTCAGACTTTGATGGATATCTTTTCTTGGATTGATGACTTTGATGGATATATTTGCTTGGATTGATGACTTATCGGGTGGAGAAAGGATATTCCGAATGACTTGATATTTGTTGAAGATATTCCAAAAAGGATATGATTTTTGATAGCATAGTTGATATGACTTGATATTTGCTGAAGATATTCCGAAAAAGGATATGATTTTTATAGCATAGTTGATCTGACTTGATATTTGTTGAAGATATTCCAAAAAGGAATATGATTTTCGATAGTATAGTTGATCTTTCTTTTAATTGGTTTATTTTTAGAAGCTCTAATGTTTCAGCTAGATAGATTCATTGGTTGTCAAACCCTTTCTTAGCTTTGTTTTATAAATTTCCAGCTTGTTATTTTTTATTTTATTTTAAAATACAGATGGTTGAAAAAAAAATTGACATGGGCATTTCTTACCAACAGGACAAACACCATTTAATATTTCTTTAAAATTTTCACAAAACAAATCTATAATATTTTTCTTCAAAACGACACAATTTTTTTATTTGCCAGGCGGAACTTATAAATTTGACGCTATTTTCAGAATATAATTAAATTTTGGTTAATTAATTAGAAAAATTGTTTTTGTATTCTTATCTTATTTTTATCACTTTTTAGTTTTTTACATTTTTATGAGAAAATAGTGTCATGTGTGAACCGTTGTAGATCTCTTGGAAGTTGGACCACAAAACAGAAGGCTTGTCAAAGCACTACTAACCTTGCTCACAGAAGTTTCAAATTGAAAAGTTGTGGTTTGGATTCCCTTCATATCCAAACCAAATGGCAACAATGACGATTGGAGAGGACAAGTCAACATTCAATAAGTCGTACAGAAATTCATTACGATATACTCCATTTTCTTGTGATCCAAAGATGTAAATTTAAAACCCAAGAAAAACTTATTCATTCGTACGATTTCGTCTCCAACAAAATTATGAGTCCGCCTCATCAGCATCACCCATCGCCGCAGCCGACTCATCAGCATCACCCGCCGCCGCCGACTCATCAGCATCACCCGACTCCTCCACCGACACATCAGCATCACCCGCAGCCTCCGAGACATCAGCATCACCCGCCGCCGCCGCCTCATTACGGTACTTTTCCGGGCATTCACAACCATCCTCCTCCTCCTCCGGCGGTAGTCGTCGTCCATCAGCATGTTCCGCCTCCCGGGGCATCAGGTGGACCTTCGATCAACCCCTTATGTCCATGGCTACCAGGCTGTCCCAGGTATGATAATGTTAAACTCTATAGAAGATCGAAGTCAAATACCTAATCAATACTGTTGATTCTTACCTGTATCTAAAGATTTGCAAATCTAAGATCTACTTGATTAAGTCAACGGAATTACAAATAAAACAGTATCTACTCCAGTAGGTTTTTGCAGGCTTATAATAGATTCTTACCATGATGATTTTAGTTGATTTGTAGATTACCGAGTCAGTCTATTCTCTCGAGCTGGCGAAGTTATAAACTTATAATCACCATTAGTTTTTAGAAACAACAACGACAACAATATAACCCAATTCCCATAAGGATAATCATCGTATCTAGATCAAGTCTTTATAGACATTGACGTTTGACCCCTTTTTGAGTTAAAAACAAGGGTTGGGAGGAGGCATGATAATAGGCAAAAAGATCTCTCTGGAGCAAAAAAATGAACCCCTATCCACGATACTGACATTAAAGTTGCCATGAAGCTTAATTAGTTGATATGAATGATAACTTACTTGAAGATATATTAACATTCTATATGATGCTTCAGGTTATGCAGTTGCTGAAGGAAGACCAATGGCCATGAGAGGACCTCAGCTTTGCTGTCGTTTATGCCTCTTGTAAGTTGTCATCTTGATAAGCGACTTCTTAGTATACAATGATCCATATTTAGTAAATTATTATTGTCAATTTGGGAACATTTATCTGATTTTTGATATTTTGTTCTCCTCAAGTATCATTATTGGTTTCTTCGTTGCTGCATTCCTCTGGTTCTTCTTCTATGCGCTATTCAGATGATGAGCACGGGAAACTTGGATATGCTTCTTGCCTTTTTGCTGTAAGATTTATACTCTTTTTATTCGTTTTCTTGGATGATATATAAATATTGCTCTTTTCTTCATGAGTATGAGTTAAATATGTGGTTTGTATTATATAATATATAATCAACCGTAATTTCAACCCCTTTATAGGAAACTGGATTAGACCAAAATTTGATGAAATCATACACAACCACCACAAAGGACACAATGAAAATCAAAATCAAAGGGAAATTACAAACGCCATATGTTAATGTAATGTAATTTATACATAGTTGGTGACAAAATGTAGCAAATGTCGTATGTAAACAATCATGACGCACCATTTAGTCTTGAAACTTGCAATGTGAAAACAGTTATGAGACAAAAGTCATTAAAATCCATAGACTTTTTTATCATCCCAACCATTTACATTATTATAAGTTGTTTGTTATTTCTCTTTGATTTTGATTTTCATTTTGTCCTTTGTGGTGGCAGTGATGGTGGCTGTGTATGGTTTCATCAAAATTTGGTGTAATTATAGTCTTTTCATTTAAGGGTATTTTAGTCTTTTTACCACAGAACTGAAAACTCATGGTGGTGTTGTGGAGGTTCCTGTGCAAAAATGTATTTCTCTATTAGAGTGTCTTGTGTAAAAGTTAGTGTTTTTAGAAAAATAGTCCATGAAGAGGATTTCTTCATTTATGTGGTATAAGGGCAGTAGCGTCATCTTTTAAAACTCAACAGCCTTTCCGTTAGCCAACGTTGCAATATTGGATCTTCCATGATAAAAAGCCAATACTAAGACCAAAAGTGATGAATTTCGCAAACCACAAGGACCAAAAATGTATTTTACTCTATATCTTATATCTATAAACGGTTCAATGGGTAACATTAAAATATTAAGCTAAAGTGGAATTGTTTTATTCTAAAAAATTGGGTCATTGGTTTAATACCTTTTCTGATTGTAGGCTATTCTTGGAACAATTGATGTGATTTGTGGTGTTACAAGCATCTGAGATCATTTGTAAAGAGCTACAAGGTTGACTGAAGCATATATTAAATGCATCCAGGGGAGCCTCCCTTGTTTTTCTATTTATTATTTGTATTATGGTGTGGATTAGTATGTATCAAGTCCTGGATATTTGTTTATTTAGGTGATAATTGCATTTGCTTTGTAGTTACATGACCATTATATACAAAGAAGTATGTGTAGTATTACTAGTTTTAACTTGTAGGTTTACTCTATTTGTCATATACTCTTGTGTAGTTGCGTACTAACGGCTACTCCTTCGACATTTGACAAAACTTTGTTTTCGTTGTATATGTCACTCTTCCTTCGTCTTCAAGATTCATATTATGTAGTATGATGAACGCATACATTACGTGCTGCAACATTTTCACTTCATATGACCGTGCCCCGACTGCTAGTACTTGCAACGCCTCTTGAGTACGCCAAATACTCGCTCGATGTCCTTCTTAGCTGACTCTTGTGCTTCTTTAAACTTTTTTCTTTTTTCGTCGTTCAGACATGTGAACGATTTCACAAAAATAGATAAGGTAGGATATATATCGTCAGTAAGATAGTACTCGCGCTTATATGCTACGCCGTTTGTTTGAAAATGTACATCGTGCAACTATCCAAGATAGATGTTGTTGAATACTGGCGACTAGTCCACAACATTGATGTCGTTGTTTACACCAGGGACCAAAGAATGTATGTCATATCCAAAGATCATGTGATACGATTACTTCTAGAACAATCGGTGGCTCTCTGTGGTCGCCTCACATGTACTGATCACGCCATGCATTGGGAACTCATGCTTGCTTTCATGCGTCGTGTATAATTAGTGGACATCGTTGATAGTTGGTTTGCGTAAATATCGTCGCCTGTAAACCAAAGTAATAGCTTATGAGAACTTGTACACACATTCCTGTATGGTACGCTCAGACATCCTCAAATACTCCTCCCATTTGTCTGCGCCCATGCCGTATGATAACTGACGAATTACGGTTGTGCATTTTTGAATTGAAGAGAAACCTTTTATGCGTCTAGAATCAGGCTTCCACCGGAAATATAGGAAACAATCTTCCAAATCGCCAACAATACGTAAGAATAACTCGTTCCTCATCCGGAACCGTCGTCGAAACTTTTCAGCGTACACGACGTCATTTGCAAAATAGTTTTATGTAAGACGATTGTGCCCGACTTCACGATTTCTATGCAATTGCGGTTTTTTTATTTTACTTCGTGAACATGAACTTTGACATTGTCGGTTTTAAAAATATGCAACAGTCTTTGCCATGAGGGAATCGACAAATAATGTCTCATCTTGAGCCGTCAAATCGGGTGATGAAGATGACGACATTGTGTTTTAGTGGTTTTTTTGGAAAGAATATGTAGAAATGGTATAAAAATAAAGTTGGGTTGGTTTGATATTTATAGACTGATAAAGAGATTAATATATATATATATATATATATATATATATATATATATATATATATATATATATATATGACCGTTTGAAAGAAAAAGATGTTTTTTTCGACCAAATGAGAATAGTAGAGAGAACGCGGGGAGTCTTCCCCTCACCCCATTCCCGCACCCTCGGTGCAGTGTTCTAAGGTACGAGTTCGTTTCCCGCTTGTAACATTCGAATTTGGTAAGTTTCATAATTAACCATTCTTATTAAAAGCTTTGCATTTTAGTCCTTAAGCTAGTACACGGGGTGTACAGGGTGGTACACTTAGCGTACTAGCTCGGAGATGATCGCGCATGCGGTCCATGTACGCTGAGCGTACATTGTGTACGCATGGCGTACGTGTGGTTAATCAAACCCTAATTTCTAGGGTATTGCACCTTATTTAAACCTTATGACAGCCTCACTAGGTCATGTTTAGATACACTCCACCCTTGTCCAAAAATTGAAACCCTAGAGTGTTCTTGAGAGTTTTGAGCCATAAAGTGTGTTTGTGGGTGTTTTGTGAAGGAGAAGAAGAAGTGGACCATTTGGAGTTGTTCTTGGAGCTTTCATCATTTGCTAACCTTTTGAGGTAAAAAGCTCTCATCTTGCTAATCTATGATGCTAGATCTAGTGATATGTTATTTTTATGCTTTTTGAGTCATTGGAGTGATTGTTGAGCACTTTGATTCACTCCAAAAGTGATTGATGGTAGATCTAAGGTTCTTTTGGTCCCTTTGTCCACAAAAATGCAAGCTTTGAGGTGTTTATGGACATATGCATGTGTTAAGACCTTTTGTTAAGCTCTTTTGAGCTTTAGAGCCCCATTAAGCCATGCATGCATGTAAAGTTGTCAACTTTACGTGATAGGTCACCTTAAGGAAGTCAGATCTGAGAGTTGGATTGAAGTCTTAACCGAATAAGGGCTTAATGATGGAAGTTGGCCAACTGGGGAGTACGTTGGGCGTACAAGCGTGACAACCGTCAATTTATGGTCAAGTCAAAGTCAAATAAATTCAACAAGTCAAACCGGTCAACTCAATTAACCTTGTATATTAGGGTTTACATTATGTTACTACTGTACAACTCGCTATTTTAATAAGAAGTTATCACTTGAAAAATTCATATGTTCAGAATTCTCAAACCCTAATCAGGGTAAGTGATGAAACTACTTGGTAAAACACTATTTCGTACCCCTCGGGGGCGTATCACATTCATAACGAGGCTTAACGGGGTTTACAAACCTTGCGTAGCGAAACTAAACATCCAAAAAGGTCTCAAACGAAGTCTCTCTCAAATCTCTCCCAAATCTCTCTCAAAACTTTTATAATCATTTGGGGCATCTCGACCCTTAACTTAGTAAAAAACAACTCAAAACAGGAAGTTTATGCGAAAAACAGCTGTATAGAAGCGGAACCCTCTTAGAGGCGAAACCCTAAGAAGCCTCTTGGACCGAAACACCTCTCATGGACCGAAGCTCCTAGTGAGAACTGAACCTGCTTGGACCGAACTGCTGAAGAACCGAAATCTCCTTAGGACCGAAATGAACCGATCCCTCGGTCCATTTCGCTCTCGGGTACCTTCGCTCCATTTCGCCTTCGGTTCGGACGACTTCGCCTTCGCTCCCCTTGCTTTCGGTCCCACCTCCGTGTTCGCCTGCGAGTCTGCTAGGACCGAACCCTCCTCTCGGTTCTCATAAAACACCCGAACCTCCCTTCGGTTCTAGGCATCCAAGGACCGAACCTTCGGCCCTGAACCCGTATTTTCGCAGACTTCGCCCCTATATTTCCCGGTTTTCAACCCCGACTTCGTTTTAAGCTCGTTTTTCGTGATTTTAACGTGAGATTTTCACCCAAACTCGTATTTTGGCATAAGAGACCCTATATATTCATAATTTAAGCACATAGTAAGGGAAATCCTTGTCTAAGAATAATATCTAGTGGGTTAGATTTGGAGGTGGAGTGTTGACTTTTCTATAAGTCTATGACACAAGTTACCTCCCATACCACTCCATGACCACTTCATGTCACTATTCCCACCTTACCTTAGTCAAATCAAGATCTCCCCATATCTTTTTCATCAGCTCACTCTCTAAATCCCTCACTCTCCTCCCTATAAAACCCCACTTTCCTCCTCCCAAGACACACTTTTTACACACTCTCATACTTCTCTCTAAAAACTCGAGTTTCCTCTAGGAGTCACAAGTTCTTCCCCTATTGCTGGTAAGATTTTCCTTCCTACACATAACATTCTACACAACTTTACTAAAATCATAGATTTTCTTACACAACTATCGACATATTTGTTCTTAGATCTCCGAATCTTCAAGCATCTCCCAAGTGTTCTTGACTTGGAAACTTCTTCTCTTCATCATCCATCTTAATAGATCACTCAAGGTGAGTTCATACCCCCACATTTTCATGTTTTCTTCAAGTTTTAGGCGGAGAATAAAAGTTAAAATACCAAAAACTCAACTAAACTCAAACAATAGCTTTCATCAGAAAAGTTGAGTCCTATTCACAGACTGGTTTGACAATCTTAAACTTAATATCTTTCAAAACTGTTTAATATGCAAATATTTCAGGTTCATACCTTTATAATGACTACTTGCACATCTCCATACGATTTTTCTACAATTTATGGTGATTTTTACAAAACTGTCTATCATTTCAGAAACGAATTCAGACCAGTCTGTGAATATGAACATTTTCACACAAGTTAGAGACTTCCAAAAATCATAATAAAATGTATGAACAAACTAGACACGTTTTCTAAACTCTCAGAGTTTACGGATTTGGTTTTTGACTTCGTATGATTTTTCTATGATTTTTCTAAAAGAGTGTAGAAAAGTTAAAAACGAGTTAACAGCTTACAATTTTCATAACACTTTGTAACATGTTGAGCAAAGTGTAATCTTTGATGACTTCATGTTTTGCATGTGTTTTTCTGTTGTGGTATATTTTTATGACAGAAAATACTCTATGAAGTATAAGAGTCCTTTGTAAATACAAATAATGCAAGATGAAATATAATAAGTATAGTTATGCATTGATTAAACTATTACATACACATGAAGGGTCTTACCATAATATAAACGGATTTTCAATTACTACATGATAAACTATAATAGGTATAGTTTATGAAATTCACATTACTAATTTAGTACACAAAGGGAGATTTCACTTCCACCTCAGAAAAGGGTTTTACTCAAACACTACACGTAAACTCGTTAACGTAAGTTATGAGACAATTCTTCATTTGTACTCTTAGAGTACGGGTTAAAATTTTTTGTAAGTTATAACCAAAATCTCTTGTAGGGGGGCGTGATAATTGTGTATAGATCTATATTGGGATTGACACCCCACACCTTGCTGCTAGTTACAACGGGACCTGCAGGTCTACGGGTGACAAAAGTCATAACATATTCTAACGCCTGAAAAACGTTGTAGCAGGTCATCCGGTTGTAGTATGGTTATAGCGACTCACATAGGGAGTTAACAACACTTAAAGTTTACGGGAATTTCTACTTTAAAAAGGGTTTTATCTATTTAAAACTGCATTCTTCGATACAATTACGAAACACACTCATACATTCGGTCTTGGGATTTAAGACTACATAACATTTTATAAGGAAAATATTGGATTTTTCTTGTGTATACATTACATTTACAAATAAGGGTTTTCCAATCACTACAACCAAAAGCTTATGAACTCACCAACTTAATTGTTGACACTCTTTCAAAACTACTTGTATTCTCAGGGTACC